GGCAATATGACAAAAAAGAGATTGTTCACTTTTGTTTTCAGACAGGCTCTCTATCACTACATGATAGAAAAAGCTGGTCTTAAATTCCTTGTGTTTAAGTAATTGTCCCACCTTCGGCCTTCGCAGCAGCTCAAACTGCTAACTTACCCCATGTACCTGACTTACTGAACTAAAAAAGGTTTTAAAAAAATCCCTCTATCCATTAAGGAAAAAGAGAGGGCATTTCATAGGCTATTAGAGCATGCTTACCTTCTGGGTCATATTTGACTGTGAGAGATTGTTGAAGATAAAAGCAATTTTCTCTTGGATATTTTCTGGGGGCTCAACAATCCTCTCAGTTTGATCTGTGGCCACAAGCAATGTATCTATATTTGTTGTATTTATAGAAGGCTAGAAGTAATAAAATACATTGGTTAAAATGGTTGAGCGGTTTCACTGGAAAACCAGACAACAGAAGTGCTGGAAGACAGCGCTCCGTGGACAAAAGCACTTGCCCCCTTGCAAGCCTGAAGGCCTGAGTTTAATGCCTGGGACCCACATGCCAAGAGAAACCCGATTCTAAGTCCTCTGACCTCCACATACACAACACAAACACAAAATAAGTAACAAAACATAAAGGTAGTGAAACATTTTTTAAAAGATTAGAGAGAAATTCCATTAGCATGAAAATACACATGGTATAACTATACTGGTAAGATACTTAAACCCATTATTAAAATATTACACAGGGGTCTCTGGGGAATACGGGGAGAAATGCTGATCTTTATGCTTACAATGAAATAACATACAAATTCTTTACTACGTATTTATACCATCAAATCCTGGAAAAGCACAAAGACCTACTTACTGGCACATCTTTCTTAAAGCTAACTCCCGTTGGCTTGGTGACTGTAACCGTTTTAGCAACAGTGGTGGTTGTTGAGGTGGTTACCATTGTGTTAACCTGACCCGCAAGAGGAGCTTTTGCTGGAACCTGGGCCTGAGCCTGGGCCTGAGCCAGTGCAATACTTCCAGGGGTCGTGATAGAGCCCTGCATTTTCACAGGAGGATCTCGAGACTGCTGTCCATATTCGATGTACTGTATGGGTACAAAAGGAAACACATTGAGGCTTCTTTAAAGAAATGGGGGCAAATTTTTCTTTTCTTTTTTCATTTTTTTGAGAGAGGGTTTCTCTGTGTAACAGCCCTGGCTTGTCCTAGAGCTCACTCTGTAGACCAGGCTGGCCTCAAACTCAGAGAAACACCTGCCTCTTCCTCACAAGTGCTGGGATTAAAGGCATGTGCCACCACTGCCCAACTGAAATGAAAAATTTGTCTTATATGTCCTTCACTTATGAAAGGATAGAAATAATTTTAAAGTTTTCTTTTAGTCCATCTCACTTAATCCTTGCCTCTTACTGGCACCAATATGTAAGTGGACACCATGAACTCCTGTTAAGATAAAATATTAGTATGTTAAAGTGCTTTAAACAAGACTGTCAACTTTAAACAACTTTAAAAAGTAGTCTCAGGGGCTGGGCAGCAGTGGCATAAGCCTTTAATCCCAGCACTCAGGAGGCAGAGCCAGATGGATCTCTGGGAGTTCAAGGCCACCCTGGTCTACATTGAGATCCAGGACAGGCACCAAAAACTACAGAGAAACCCTGTCACGAAGGGAAAAAAAGAAAGAAAAAAGAAAAAGTAGTCTCAGGGGGCTGGAGAGATGGCTCAGCAGTTAAGAGCACTAACTGTTCTTCTAGAGGACCCAGGTGCAATTCACAGCACTGACATGGCAGCTCTCAACTGTCTGTAACTCCAGTCCCAGAGGATCCAACACCCTCACACAGACATACATGCAGGTGAAACACCAATGCACATGACAAATAAAAATAAAAATGATTAAAAAGTAGTCTCAGATATCTATAAATTCCTTAAACCCTTAAAAATTCAAACTTTATGTCAAGCGTTTTTATTGAACACTGGCTTCAAACATACCACAGTGTCTGTAGTATTACAGTAACAATACTTGCCCAGGAAGCCCAAGGAACTGCAGCTGAATCCCAAGAAATATATGAACATGAAAGAGGAAAAAAAATGACACAGAAGTTGTCCTCTGACCTCCATACAGGCCATGAAAAGTGCATGTTTTTATACATATACATGCAATAATAAAAAAATAATTATTAAAAAAAAATCATCTCAGTAGTATTCCTCACAAATCTCCAAACAGATCAAAGGAGATAAAGCCTCTGTCCACCCAACAAGTGTTACAGACCAGGGCACTTACCTCCTGCAAATGATGTGGAAACTGCATAAAGTGACTAATAGAAGCCAAATGCTGACAATACTGAGGATAGTCCTTCAATCTGCCAAAACAACCAAACTTAGTTGTTCACTCATCATTTTATATGAGAACAGAAAGAAAATGTTTTTTCCCCCAGACACTACTATGTGAAAATCATTTCCCCATTGTTATTTGGACAAGTATGTCGAAGGGAGACCACCAGCCAGGAACAGGGCATGTGCACACCCCAGAACTAACAGTAGAAGCACCAGCTCAAGCCAACCTAGCTGTGTCTCAAACAGGGAAACACCAACAAACCTATTCGTTATAAAGAGACGAACATCAAAACGGGGGGAGGAGGAAGGCGGCAGTCATGAACATCACTCCACATTAGAAAACAAAACACTGCCCAGGTATGGTCACACAGGCCTGTAATCCTGGCACTTGGGTCAGTGACGAAAGAGAATTGTGTTTTCCAGGCCAGAATAAGCTTTTATAAAACAGATCCAATGAAAACTTTTAAAAAGTGATTTAAAATTAAGTATCATAAAATAAATGAAGCCATTACCTCTGCAGATCACATTTTACCATCCCCCACAAACAATGAACTGAGGGCACAGCTCAGTATACACTTAATGTGGAAGTACATGTGTGTATGTAATGCTCCACACAGTGAAGATACCTCCCAGAACTCAGAAGGCTGAGAACGGAAGATACCAAGTTTCATATGAGGGTTGGGGAAGAAGGGAGAAAGAAGTATGCCAGTCTATCTACTTACCTATTTTTAAATCTATCTAGTGCAGCAATACCAAAATAATACATTTTTGATCCAAAAGGCTTCCGTAAGGCTTCAAGAACGTATCTCAGGGCCAGACCCAATGCCATGTAAGTGACCAGTCCTTTCTCAATTATGCCACCAAACAGGCAGGCTGTTATATGTAATTCTTTATCAGGATACTGGGGGAAAAACCGATATTCTTCAAACAAGTTCCTCAGCATACAGTTAAATACTTCTCGCTCCCTTTTTATAGTAGAGTCTTTAAATCTCTGTAGCATTTCTAGTACCTAGGAAAGCAAGACAAATATAACACAAACACAAACTTTACCAAGAGTCTTCCTCAAGAGCAGACTTGCTAAGGAAAGTATTTATCAATAAAAAAAAACAAAAAACAGAGCTTAAGACAAACATTAGGATTTCAAATGATACACAGAAATACTACAACACTTAAGAGAATGTCTAAAAACCTTGAAAGGGCACACTTATTTCCAGTTTATGAAAACACGAGTAATTAGAAATCTAGACACTCACCTCATCAACAGACATGGTTGGATGTGGTGGGTGATTATATATTCGCTGGAAATAGCTGTTTGCTTCATCATCTATCTCTTTACTGAAGTGTTGATTGGCCTCTGGCCACACCTGAGACAAGTCGGCTGTTTGGGGCAGGGGGAAAGACTATCAGCAAACATATCTAAGCCTTTCTTCAACTCCCCCAGAGAATTACAGACTGATATGGTTCTAACTTTGGGGGAGGGGGAGGGTGGGGGAGAAACTGCAAGTTCAAGTATCTCTCTAATACTTTTACTACTAGAGTAGTCCAGGCAAACAAGAACGACTTTTAAACAAACTGCTTTACTTACTCCTACTACAGGATTTTCTAAGTCATACTGCAGTAACAAGTTCACTAGGCTACAACTCCTAACATATTTACCATTAACACAGCCCACTCATGATTAGTAATCTTTACTGCTTTGTAATAAAAACATGATTCAACATAGAGCATGACACATAAACACAAAGCAAGCTACAAAACATTAGCATTCAGACAAACCTTTCACACATTTTTAAGCGAGTTCATATTTTATGATTATTATTACTATTACCATGATGATGATGTTATTGGGAGACAAGATCTCAACTATGTACCTCTCTGGCTGGCCTTGAACTCACAGAGATCCATTTGCCTCTGCTAGAATTAACAAATTGCACCACTAACACCTGGCCTGCTTTTTCTGAAAAATTATTTTATGTGGATGGGTGTTTTTGCCTGCAAATATGTCTGTGCACTGTGTAAATGCCTCAGAGACCAGAAAAGTGTGTCAGATTCCCTGGAACTAGAGTTACAGACAGTGGTGAGCTGCCACATGGGTGCTCTGAGTTGAACCTAGGTCCTCTAAGAGTACCCAGTGTCCTTAACCACCTTTGTTTTTTGAGAAAAAAAATAGAACTAGTGTGTACACAGTAAGTCAGTTCAGGCTAGCTAGAACCTGCTTCTGCTGCTCAGGTGCAGGAATCACATGTGTACACCACCACACTGCTCTTTAGATTCTTCTGTCATCAATATTTAGTCCAGTAGTAAGACAGGCACAGGAGTCATTCATCTATCCTGATGGGTGTATAAAAAATGTTTTTTTTCTTTAAGGTAATATTACTAAGGAAGTGAGCCTTAAAAATGGGTCTTAAATTTGATCATATATATTAGACAGTGATATTTATGAGGTAAATAAAATTACATATACTAGGAAGTTAGTATGTAATTTACTTCATAACCTTGACTAACTGAAACAGAAATCTGAAATTTTCTTGGCTGTTCCTCCATTCATTCTGTTCCTGACTTCTTTCCCCAACTTGAGAAAGGGTTTCTCTATGTAGCTCTGGATGGCCTGGAATTCACTCTGAAGACCAGTCTGGCCTCCAACTCAGAGACCCACCTTCCTCAAAGGCTGGGGATTAAAGGCGTGTTACACCATACCTGGGCCTTCTGACTTCCTGAAAGCCACACTAATAAATCTGGATGCAACACGGATGATTTGTATGCAAAACTGGAAAGAAAACTCCAAGTCTTTCCCTCTCCCATACCAACTCTTACTGTTATGCTAACACCCTCAGGAAACCACCTCTTATTAACTATCATTTTGTTCTGGCAATCCAGAGTACAAATAGCAATAGCTCTAGTTTTATTTTATTAATTCAAATTTGTGTATTCCCACAGATCTAAAGACATACATCATCCAATGAGGACTATTATCAACATGTAAGTAAATGTTTTTGTCTACCTAATACTAAGGACAACACACAAAACTTTTTTACATGTATCAGTCACACCTCACAATCACAGACAACACTACCACTTACAAGGTTTCATCTTACTCTGCTGGAATGTAGGCTGGTTGAGTCCAGAGGTGCCCAGTTTCCTCTGTACAAAAGGGTCGTTGTTCACTGCAGGAAGTCCAAGAGCCCCAGTTCCTATACCAGTCAGGCTTCCTGTGCCAAGACCACCTACTAAAGAGAATGAAGGCAGCCACAAGTTCAGTCAGTACCTATGTTCTTCACTTCCTGTGTGCACAGGATGTACATACAAAGACAGGTGTGCCAATGCACAAGTGTGGCATTGAGCGGACAAACCGGAACTGCTTTTCTCCTTCACCTTTACATGGGCTCAGAGGATCCAAGGACCTTTCCCACTGAGCCATTTCATTGACCCCACCATTTACAGTATTAAATATGTAATTTTAAAGGTACTCTCTCAAAGAATATATACCAACTTACTCAAGATCACAACGATTAAAGAATGTCATGTAACCATTTCAAAGCTATCATGAGCCAGAATTTCTCTACTTATTCCTCAACTCTAACTCCAAAACTAAGCAAAGAACAACAAGAAGTACAAAGTCTAACAGCTCCATCTTTGCTAGGAAGGCTTTAACAAGCCCAGTGGTCTCAGTTGAAGTAAATTAATCATCAGGTCTAGAACATATAGCAGCAGTAATTAGGTCACTTCTTCATGACACTTCATCCCTTGGGTTTGGGTGTCCTACCTTACAGCCTTCACAAGAGAAGTATGTATGAGGAAAAAGATATAAACTTTACTTTCTTGTTAAATTACAAATCAGTAATACAGAGAAGGAATTAAAAATAGACCAGTATTTTCTATGTGGATACAGTCCAAGTCAGGCAGAAGAAAAGCTTGAATTGGTATGTATAGTCTTTTCTGCCTGTGATTCATAAAACTGAATTCACACTATTACCATGTGACTGGTCCAGTAGTAAATCCCCAGCAGCAAAAAGTAACATAAAGTGTAACTAATACCTAAGTGAGCACCACATTACACATACTATGATTTGGTAATACAAAATTCTTCTCATACTGAATTTACTGTCATAAAATCCTAATCATTTATTTCCATTAAGAGGAACTAAATTAAACAATATGCTTCCTTCTCCCTAACTTGAGATGCTGACATCTTGCTTGAGTACTTTTCTTTTCCCAGTCATTCCAAACCCTTTAGCATACACTACTAACTAGGGCATACTAAAATTTACAACCAATTCTACCACCCCCAACTTCCCCTTACCTGGAAGTTGTGATGAAAGTCCTCCAATACCACTGAACGCCGTTGTTTGATTTGGGGTTGAGAGAGGTGGAAATGCTTTTGCTGGTGACTGAGGGGTACTGAATGCAGAGCCCAAATTTGGAGGAAAACCCTGCATACTCTGGGTGTGAGGGGCAGCTGAACCACCTATACTAAGAGATGCCATTCCAGCAAGAGGGTCAATCTAAAGAAAAACATAACAATGTATTATATATGTTTTGACGAAAGGCAGATATGGTACAAATGTAGTGATTCTTAGTAATCTTTACACTTCAACACCCACAAATTATAATAATTTAACAGTATCAAATCTGCTAGTCATTTTACATACTACTTAGTAATAGGTTTAAAGAGTTAAGTCCTGACGTAAAGTATCAGAGCCACAGGAAGAGACTACAAAATTACAAGATAATTTGCCCTATCGCTCGACTACTAAACTTTTAGTAATAATACTGGGCAGATATTACATTATTAAATCAAAACTAATTTCAACCTGTTGTTTTATTTACAACACAGTAAAAGTATTAGAAATTATCTTTCAGTTAAAACACATTGTCAGATTATATAATTTTTTTTTTTTTTTTTTGGTTTTTCGAGACAGGGTTTCTCTGTGTAGCTTTGCGCCTTTCCTGGAGCTCACTTGGTAGCCCAGGCTGGCCTCGAACTCACAGAGATCCGCCTGGCTCTGCCTCCCGAGTGCTGGGATTAAAGGCGTGCGCTACCACCGCCCGGCTCAGATTATATAATTTTTAAGGTTAAAATAGATCACCTCTGATTTTTAAAAGAAGCAACAAAAACAAGATGTGCTATTCACAGAGATTTAAAAAAAAATCTAGTTAACTACTATCTGAGTTGTAGCACTACTTCACACTTCACGAGTATGGGAAATGACAAGCAGTGTCTTTTCTAAAGTAGACACTGAAGAGTCACTAAGTGCCTTTCCTTCCCTAAACCCCAACCTGCCATTCAGTGCATCTGAAACAGAAGTGGAATATGTTGCTCCCAAAGAGAATGGGGTGGGCAATGTCAGGGAGTGACTTAAATGTACCTTGTTTTTAAAAGAGCAGTTCAGTTGAGAGCTGAAGAGCCCAGTTATAACAAGTCGTTATGCTCTAGTACTGTTGCTTGGCCCGTGAAGCTACAAACAAGACACATCAGATTCAAAGGCAGTGCTTATTCTCTCCAGAGTGTAACTCTAATTTTAAAAAGAAACCTTCTTCATTTACCTAAATCAGTGGTTTTGTATCTTTTCTCTCATTCATGAGCTAGTTGATTATTAAAGTCTATTCTCAGTTATAATGCCTATGGAAGGAGCTCCGTTAAAATACGCTACACATGCAGGTATCTAAAGTATAATAAACTCAAAGGGTTACTGAAGATGCAGAAGCTTGGTCTATTCTGAACCTATGAACAATGCAGACAAGAACGGTTTCATTCCATTACCTGAACAGGAGAAATGGCATCCAGACTGCTAGCACTAGGAGGGCGACCTTTTGGCATCACTCCAGGTGGTGGCTGTCTGGCCTTAGTCATTACGTTACTGCAATTGGCTACCATGGTGAGGATGGTCTCGGATAACTCCTGAGAAACACTCCTACAAGGAGAAGAAAAATCAAATATATGCCTGTTATTTCCCAGAATAGCTAAAGATATCCATCTGGTATCTAATAAGATGTTCTGGAGCACATGGCTACAACTGTATCTCATCCCTTGCACCTGCCATTCATTTACCACTGGGATTTTCTGAACTCTGGGTTATCTTCAAAATTTTTGGTAAACAATGCACTTGAACAAAGACATATTTGACTAGTGGCATTAGGAAATGGGGGACAGCACACAAAGGGGGCACGTCTATGATCTCAGCAGTCAGGAGGCTCAAACAGAAATACTGCTTAAGTCTGGGAGTTCAGGACTAGCCCAGCTGACAGAGTGAAATCTTGTTTACAGTAATAAACACCAATACTCAGAAAACTCAGGAAAGCACTGATCAATTCTTGAAGTCAAGAGTACCACACAAATACAGCAGAAACCACAAAAAAAACCAACATCAGACCCCTCAAATGCTAGTGAATATAACTCAGCAGCATACAAAACATAGATGTACACAATTACCACGTGAGATTTAGGAAGATAAAGTCTAACCTTCCGAATCTTACTAGCATACAAGATCACATACCAAGAGAATAAAAAACAAAACTCAAACATCTTACAAATAGCACAAAGGACTTTGACAAAACCCTTTCATAATAACCACCTACTCGGGCTGGAGAGATGGTTCAGAGGTTAAGAGCACTGGCTGTTCTTCCAGAGGTCCTGAGTTCAATTCCCAGCAACCACATGGTGGCTCACAGCCATCTGTAATTAGATCTGGTGCCCTCTTCTGGCCTGCAATCATACATGCTGTATACATAATAATAAATAAA